TTTTTTTTTACAAAGAACAAACAAAAATTGTGTGCATACCGTTCTCTTGTAAATGATACTTAAATCTCTAACGCAAATGATTACCTCTAGAATGTATTACCATGGAACCAACTACTACTGGAGTTACAAAATCATCACATACACAACATCTAAAAAGTCAAATGGACTATTCCCACTTACAAACTTTTTGTCTTCCATAGTCTCTAGCCTGATTAGCCATACTGTGTAGCATAAACTGAAATTAGAACTATCAGAATTATTTCAGTATCTCCTTCATTTCTTTTGGCTTATCAGTCACTCTGCAACTTTAATGAGGAAAAACATGGTGAACAACTACTGCTGTTTTTTCATTTCTCAAGTATTGTAAAATCCTTTCAAACATTAACTAATTTAGTCCTTTCAACATTGCTGTTAGGGAGTAAGGGTGGAGAAAAGGAGATTGAGTTACTTTTTATGCTCTAGAACAAGTCAGCTGCAGTGCAGATAAATAACTTGATTTCCAATTTTTTTTAACTAGGTAATCACATGGTATATTATTTTTCACAACATGAGCCCATTTCCAGGCACATGCTCCTACCTCATCCTCTGGGAGTGATGCAAGAGCATCCTTGTATAGTGCATAGTGCAGATATCTAGTCATCCTACTTTCCCTTTAAATTTTCCCAATTATTACCTAGGTAAAGCCTGAAGACTTTAACATTATAGAGACTTTGAAAATATTATTTATTGTAGTTCTTTCATTGTTGGAATCTTGACATCCCTACAAATTTTTCCTCATTTCTGTCCACGTTACATTTTGCAGGTTAGAAATAAATATGTCATCAGTAATATTATTCACATTTTGTCATATTTCAAGTATCCAATTCTGGGCATAGTTTCCATCTCATACTCTCTTCACAGAAAGATTAATATTCACTGTGTAACAACTTCTTTATTCAACAAAACTTCATCTTTGATCACACTTTTCCGATCACACTCTCTGTGTTGTGCAGTTGACTAACTCATGCACACATCCTTTATTTTAGTTGGTTAATTCTCACCATAAATCCTCTTTCACATGTCTGGGTTCTCTGATTGACTGTGAAAACTGTGAGTCTGGTGTTTTATAACAGTCTTTGTGGTAATCTGTCTAATTGAATGTCTGATAGGAAATCTACTAACAAAGTATAAACAATGCAATGTAGAAATTTAAGATACTGCAAAAGATTATTTGATTTTTAGGTACTTAGATTCATTTGAATGATCAACATAGAACTTCTCACACTAAAACTCATCCATTATACCTTTTCATCACACAAACAGCACACTGAATGTCAGATAAAATTAACATAGAACATTTTGAACAATGGTTGCTCTTTATCATTAATACACACCCTCAAAGCAAAAATGATCAATCTTGAGTACTTTTTATTTTTAAACATTAAATTTTTAAATTACATATTCTATGTACATGTATTTTAGGCATCAGCAAAGCGTATTGCATTCTAGTATGAATAAACCTCAATAAGTTCAGAAGTAGCGAGACTGAAATGCATTCAGAAATATGATAACATACACCAAAATCAGGTGGAAAAGTCAGACACAAAGACATGTCTTTTTTATGCTTCTTCAAAATTTCAAGAAAGATTAGCTTCATATTTCAAGATTGAGAGAACAGTGAGATTTTGTTAGGAATTTAAAAATAGTAGCAAAATAAATTGGATCATATGATTCTAAGCCTTCAAATGGGAGAAAATTAAGTGAGGGATCACTTCATACATACAAATAAATTGCATAATAATTTGGAGAGATATAATTTTATAGTTAAGGACAAGTAATTGATAAAGATAGAAGTTAAAGAATAAAATTATATACATCTATTAGCATTCCGGAAAACTCTAAGGTCACTGTGCTCTTACCTTAACTGAATTGTGAACATATTTAAATATCTCTGTAAAATTTTACATGCATAGAGATATAATGTTGATTTTTCAAACATAGCGTCATTGCATCATAAAAGGTATTTATTAATACCTTTCTTTGCATTTAATATGATCTAGATTTCACTATATGATGTGTCCCATGCCCAAATATTGCCAAAGGACATAATGTCCATTTATATGCATAATCCCTTTTTCCAAGCTTGTTTTCTCTGTATGACAAGATATATAGCTCTTCTGTATGTACAGGAGATAACCATATTTTTGTATTTGTGGGTCCCTGGTTTATGTAGAAGGAGCAGATGGCTTTTGTGTTATGAATTGGCCTAGCAGTTACAGTTGGCTCAATGATTTTGGATCATACCCATCCAGTTCAATGTGCTATGTTTGCATCTACTCATGAACTAGTGTGCATCTACTTTGACTCTTCTACTTTAGTGTTGCAGTTATTTCAGAATGATTTTGTAGAACTAAATGAGTATATCATCCATTACTGCACAGTAACCTCAATTTTTACTTTGTATCTTTCATGTGAAGCACTAATTTTCACAGTGCATTTTGTCATCTTTAAATGATTTTAGATGTCATTTAATATTTTCACTCATTAGTTGGTAAACATTTCTAGGCCATACAATATCTGTCTACCAATTAATGGTACAGTCTTAGCAGTATATGTACAACTTTTAATTCTTTGAATATTCTTTAAATCTTGGATTGAGTATATTTTCAAAATAAATGAAATTATAAAATCAAAATTTGATGCTAATAATATGAAATTTAAATTCAAACCATAATAAAAAATTCCAGAATTGGTAGTTAGAAAAAGAAGAAACATTATCTTATTGCCATTGGAATTAGACCTGTGCTTTTGAGATTTATTTTGAAGTCAGTACAAAATGTTAATATGCATCATTTGAGAAACTGCACACAGTATGAACTTTAGATATGTATTATTACTTAATTTTAATTACCTGCAATGATCATTTTTTACACTGATAATTTTATTTTTCGGTTTTGTATTTATCACTGAAAAATTCTAAAACATGTTGCTTATAGAAACAGAAAGATGTTCAACTCTTACATTAGCTGTGCAGCAGAAAACTTGGAAACAAAAATGAACAAAATATTTTAAGTAATCATTGTGTTTTCTCATAAATTCATATCTTCAAAGCAAAGGCCATGCAGTTTTTGTGTTTTTATTTTTTATTTTTGAAATTTATTAATCAGATAATATATACATATGTATTTTTAAACAGAAATATATGTTATAATAATAATAGGTCTGTAGGAAATTTTATTTGTGTTAGATTTCTTCAATCAGCACTGAACTTTTTAGACAACTTTTTAAAATAATATATAAGTGAGGTTCAATCTTAGTTTCAAACTAAGACATTTCTTAAAATATTTTATCCATAAAATAAGTTACTATCTTACAGTCCATGAAATTAGAAAATCCTTCAGTATATTATTGCACTATAATGCTTTTTATCATTTAGCTATCAAATTATAGTAAGAGAGAAAAGAGATGTATAAGAAATTAAGGAAAAATATGTGGAGGAGAAATGATATAAAGTTCTGTTAATCATAAGCAAATAATAAAATAAAAATTGTTACATACCCAACTCTTTACTGTAGTAGGAATCCCATGGTTTCCAGAGAGTTTCAAACATGTAGTCCTGGAGGTGGTAGGAGATGAAATTCCTTACCCTATCAGCAAAAGTCATCTGGTCAGTGAGTTCTGATAAAATAGCAGGAACATAGGAAGGAGGGTATGGTACCTTCCCACAGTGCTTTTCGACATTTGAGGCTGGAGAAAACCTCAAGGAATAGATGAATGGTATTCCCAGCTTTAAAGCTACTATATCACCACAAGGGAATACTGGGTCTGACAGTAAGACTTCAAATTTGCCTTTCTTCAGCTTTTCCATCAGCTTTTCATTTTTAAGAACACCATCACACATCTCTCTAGACACCATATGAAAGTCCTTGATGACTTTAGCCATCTCCTGATAGAATCTCCAAAGGGTAGAAGGAGAAGGTCTATTTTCCAGCCATGTCAAAACAAAATCCTTGATCACTCCTTGTATTCTTTCCTTGCCAAAGGACACTTTATATCTTTCAAATGTCAGAGATGGATGAGATGATGGTGTGATGAAAAGTGCACCCGA